ATGACTGATGAGGAAAGAATGCGGAGATAAAGGAACAATCAATGGCAGATTTTCATTCCATTGTTACAGTGCAACAATCAAGATATCAACCATCCTCAGATGTTTTTGTAACTTTGAAAGAGAGTTGAACTTTCAGGTTAATGGAAAGATCTTCAAAAAAGCTGTTATTTAGTACCATGCCCATAATGAAGGAAGATAATTGATTCTACTTAGATGTTTATCCAGTATTAACAAATTAGCCTCACAACCCTTCAAAGTTCATTCATAACTCCATGTCTACTTTTTGGTTTTTGATTTAAATTGGTATGTATAAATGAAAAATATTGGATTTTGACAGCATCTCATGCAAGGACTATTTGGATACTGGGAGTGGTGGCTTTGCATCAAAGTGCTTCCCACATTGCTGTTTTCTATTCTGTTGAGCTCAAAGTACAAATTTACAACTAGTTTGAGGTGCATCAAGTAAGCCAAAGGTTCTTCCTGTGGGAAAATTACTAGACCAGAGGGGTTAGCCCTTTTCCACAAATAGTGCTTCTTGTGAGGAAATGGTTGACCCTTGCTGATCAATATTTCAGAAACATTGCTCCTTGTGTCACTCCCCATCTCCCAAGCTGACATGGACAAGTATGAAGTGTTTCTGTATGTGTGTGTGTGTGTGTGTTTGAGGCTTGAGTTAAAGTGAATTCGTCAGCAGGCCCATAGCATTTCTCTACATCATCTCCTTCCCTGTCAGGCTTCAAGAAAGTGGAATGCAAATCCAGTGGAGCAAGAGTCAGTTTAGGTCGAGTGGAACATGTTGCAAATGGTGTTAAAAGCATGTACTCGCTGGCCTCTGCTTTAAAAAATGAATGAGGAAAAAGCACACTAAAAATGATCCCTGTTTCCTCTTCGATCCTTCCCCAGTGAAAAAAAAATCATGAATAAATAACACAGATCAAACTGAAGTGTTAGCGCAGATCAAGTATTTGTAAAGAACCTGAAAGGACTGTATATACAAGAGGGGCCCTATGAGATCATGTGAATATGCCTTGCGTGTTCTCTCTTCCTGTCATATTGAATCTAAATCATAGTGGTATCCCACAAGGTATAAAAATGATGAATTAGTTATCTTAACACGAGGCCTATCTTCAGACTGGATTACCTTGAAACACATGTAACAAAGTTGTGTGCAATGTGATATAAATTAGGATTTTTAATAGAAAAGAAATAAGTCATATGGAGACTATACTTTAGCATCTCTTGATATTTGTTAAGTCGGTCAGTTTGGATATAACCGATTTCAACTCAAGAAGTTGGCCTGTTAAAGATCTGGATCTGATCCACTCTCAACCAAGGGATCCATAACGTTATTTGTCTAAAATTAATTTAATGAAATACAAGGATTAACCATTTATTGTAGCATGCATGCGTTCAGCACAGAATGGGGCATGATTAATGTTGACCTAATTACCCGATATAGGCTTTTGCAACAGTAAAATGCACTCACTGCTTCGTCACAAATAATCTCATTGACTTGCTGATTACTACATGTCATACATATTTGGATTACTGTCATGATGTACAATTCAGTTTCCCCCTTCCCCCTGGGTTTACTTGTTGGGAGTGGTTCCTCACATTTATAATCCACCCTGCAGGGTAAAGAACTTTGACAAAAAAATATACTCCTAATCAAGTTTGTAACTGCCATCTTCTTCTTTGTCTCCTTGCCTCATCTTAGATTCCCCTTCCCTCAGAGGTGCTGATTTATCTCTGTATGTACTCTCTTTCAGTGCTGTATTAAGAAACATTAGTTCAATTTGTAAAAATAAGAGATCTTGTTTGTTAGTCAAGTTTCCTTGGTTTTCCTTGCTAATAAAAGCCTAATCTTATTGGTCTAGATGATTAGATGAGTATTTAATTTACCTGCAAAGCGATGGGGTGATCTATTTTAATTCGATTTGGCACTTTTTTTGTCATAACACATTTGCAAACATTCTAAAATGTCAACATAAGATGGTCAATTGCAATTATTTGTTACTGAAACTAATTGAATAGTTTCATGCAGCCCGGTCATGATATATGACAGTCAATGGTGACACAGTGCTATTTACATGTCTAGTGATTGTTCATTTTTACATCAGAGCTCAACAACCTGACCTTCTCATTGAAAGTGTCAATGAATGTTTAACAAGTGATGGAAACGTGCTTGTTCATGTCACAACGTCATAAATCCAACTCACCAACAAGATGTTGTTTCAGCACAAATCGTCTGTCACTTTGGGACCTGTTTTCAATTAAAATAAAAGCCACTGTTCAAATAAACTCAGTGCAAGTCCGGGCCTGGTGTTCCCAACATTCACAGGCAGGAACCATTCACATGAAGATTAATGTTTTCTTTTCTGTCTGATATGATGATAAACCAGGTTAAGAAAAAACAAAATCAAGTATCAGTATTCTACACTTTGTGTAGCATCGCCTATTTTCTTTGATTCTTTATATCCAGCACAACACTGAAGCGAAATGATTTTTTTTCCCAGTTCTGTCCCAACCCCCTCCGATATCACAATAAAGAGCATCCGCTGAACTCTCATTTTACACCCACTGAAAAATACTTGCTGTGATGTAGGAGTCTTACAGCAATCGCAGCAGGTTACTCAGCCTTTGGGTCATTGTGAAAACACAATACTAACCTCCACACACCCACCCTGTCACTTAAATGCATGTGCCGGATAAAAGAAAAAACACGCGACTGCAAAAACAAACACGTCCAATTCATGCACGCTGTCACTGCAAGCACACATTCACACATAAACTATTCATGCGCAGAGAGGGGGACGCGAGGGTTTTTTTTCACTTAGATCAGTGCACTGAGAGATGCACCATGCATGCTAAAGCCAACGTACAGATGGTGGGCCAGACAGCAGCTGTATGTTTGGATAAGAATAGAATCGCATGACTCTGAAATGGCACCTTTTTACTTCACATCTGTTTACTTTGAAAGTGTATCTCTTGCATTCTTACACATGAGTTGGTGACTTCATCGCTACCCTCAGGGCACAGAATATATAAATGAGTCAGGACACTCCACAGGATTTCTCTCTGCACGCAAGCAGCAACTGGTAAGGGAGGGCTACACTTGACCACACTTGTGGTCTTATCTGGTCTGGGTATATCTTAAGGTTCCTAGCAAAACATTCAGCCTATGTACAGTCAAAAGTAATTACTATAATAACTATAATTACAATCGGGAGGCAAGCAATTCCAAATATGTTCCCTTTATGTGGGTTTTTCAGTCACTGTGGAAGAAGTAAAAGCTTCTAAACACATTAACTGCAGATCAGATATTTATTGATAATCTCTCTGCTAATTTACTACTTTAAAGAAACATTTCTTTCCAAATGTTACATACCAGTAAATGAATCTGTGCACAGATGTGTTAGTTCCTTACCTTTGATCAGGTTTTTAAAACGAGCATTTGGTCATTCATAGAAAGTTCAGTGAGATTCAGAATTGAGTGCAGTGTATGCAGCATAGATATTGGGAGCATTGTAATTTTATGCCAGAATAAAACGGACCACATTATATGTGCTTTTCCATTTTGACGGCACCCCCTCCGTGAAACAGTCAACAAGGCTGCCACTACTACTCATGGCATTGGCAAGAATAACAAATTAATATCCTTTACGTTGGAGGTTGCTGGTTTCAACAGGGATTTTGTGACCCTCCGAAAGTTTTGTGGACCGTGGACATTAACATCAGGCCAGATATCAAGTTTCATGGCATTCATATGTGCCTCATTACTACACCCGGAAAATTCACAAGGAAAAGGCTGACAGCTTATGAAGGAATGGGCGTGAAGTAATATGAAGTGGCTGTACTTAAAGGGAGAATTAAAACATTTTAATTTAACAAAGACTGAAACTGACATTCTGGATGTTTTCATCCAGGTTTGTTTAACTTGTTTTACTTTAAACATAGAGTCACTTTCTGAACAAAGTTACCAGAAACGTCACTCAGCGGTGGTGGTAACTGGTTTATATCTCACTTACGTCCACAATGGAGATAATAAACAATTTTCCCCCCATGAGATGTTGCCAAAAACATTGTGTTACACAGATAATGGACAAGAAGTGATGAATAGCATAATATTGCCAAAATATCCCAATCCCAAATAATCAGAAATCTAACACGCTGGTAACAAAGTCTTCTCTGCATATTCTCATTTTTCAAGCCTGAATTCCGGTTTTCTATTAACTGCAGCAATTCATTTGGATTGGATCACTTTGTCTTGCTGTGTGTTTGTGCTTTGGAATAGTGCAATAGAATGTTTTTCCATCCATGTTCGAGCTTTTCAAAAAGTATACAGCTGTCACATTAGTTGGCTTTTATTTTTTTACACCTTTTTCATGTTTTATAACATGTCTCAAACCTCTTTACTTTTATTCTGTTCTATTAATTTGCCATGGTAATTTTTACCATACCAATTAGCATAATCTGCAAATAAATAGGCAGGTTTTTAGTAAACAGTTGCTGGCTAGATCATATTTCCTCAGTGAAACAAAGGTGAAGAGGGACACCTTCTTCTCTTTTTTCCCTGAACATTGACTTTTAAAAAATGACCGAACAATCTTCTGACCAAGCCCCTTTGTTAGCTTTAAATTCACCAAATCAAACTTGATATATATGAACTGGGCTACATTTGATGGAACGCAAACAATTTTGCATCAACTGACAAGCAGTTTTATTGTTCTTGTCATTCAGTAAGAATTCCAGAGGTGTATCATGTTAGAAGTGAACTGTTGGCCTGACCAGAGGCCTACGCTGTCTGAATACACTTTAAGAAGGCATTCATATTCCATAAGGTATACGCAAAAAGGTCTAAATTTAAACTGCAACTTGTTTTGAAGATTTATTGGTTGATTTTTGCTGATTTATTTCATTGTCTTGTACATACCTGTATCCTCCACAGCGGAGCGTGACATCACTACTTCATAATCCCATTAAAGCCACTGTCTTTTACATGGTCTGTCTTTATTGTCTTACAAATATTAAGTTATCCACAAAAATAAAATAACTTAGATAATAGCCATATTAAAACATAAAAAATACAAACATACATTACATTTAACACATGAAAAAATGCATATCGCTGATATCTTCCCAGAGTTTTCCTGGACTCAGTTTAGTATGTGCAAACTACTTATCAGAATAAAAAAATGACCTGTTGAACTGGAAACATGATCCCAGATTTTGTCCCCCCCCCAACCCCGGTTTCAACACGGAAACACATTTGCTTAAAATAAATTACGTCATCTGATAAGAAGCCTAACTCATACAAGTTTCTCGAGATCAAATATGATCTTATAAATGTACACACGCAGAAATCCATATCCACATTCTTCTTTATACATTTTGAAGATAACATTAGATATCCCTGTAGTACACATAGAAAGAAGTGTGAAGAGGACGAGTGTAGATATACACATATATATATAACAAGAAGCTTACAGTGTTGCACACAGCACATCGCATCACAAAACAGGAAACACTTTGATTGATGTCTCTTAAGCATGTTTATAGTGTGTGCAACACGAGCCCGTCCATGTGCGCTCAGCTTCCTGAGGCACTCCAACGTTACTGATGACATTTGTGCAGCATTACTCATTTTTATTTACAGTGCTGGTCGGATCATGTTGAAGATGAAAAGTGGACATGTGAGTGAGTGTCTACAGTGCACTCGGACGTTTTCTACTACATCATGTATCACATCACACACACCACACATGGCACGTTTTGTACAACTTAACACAGGACAGTTTCTATCTTTTATGAGGGGGGTCTGAGCATGGTGGAGCAGGTCTGTGTCTCTACCATTTTCAGTGATTTTGGAGAGCCGCCAACAAATATGAATGGCTTATAGAAGTGGTATGCGGACGCCATTTTGCATAACTTATTTTTCACAGCCTCTGTGTCTGAAATGGGAATCTCAGTGAGAAGCTCCAACAATCAAAGCTTTAGATCAGTCTTTTCACTGACTCTAACTTCAGCCGTTTGCTTGACAGTCATGTGACCAATGCGCAGAGGCTGAAGTATCTGGTTAGGCTTATCTCATTGATCAACCCTAACAGTTCAGATAGTTTGTTAGTAGTTCAGATAGTTCTGTTTGGGGACTCAATTTCAGAAACAGCTCTTTGTTTCCAACCAGAATTGACAATAGAATTCTATGAGTGTTGATATGGTTCTATTTTATGACATACTAACACACCAACATTGACTGACACATCTACTTGTCAGCTAAATTGTTAGCCGTACTCTGTGACAGCTGCTATTAATAAATAATTCAATTCATAACTGCCCTTAAACAAGGCACCAATATGTAAGTGCTCAAATACTGTATTTAGTCCATTGCTGAAGTAGGCGAAATGTTGTCATGATGCAAATGATTTCTACTGAGGCTGTTTATTCTGTATTGTAAGTCATGTTCCTGGTGTTTGAGATATTTATTTTCTATTACATAAACATGAACCAGTTTTTTAAAGTTTATTAAGTGTCATGCAAATATTGTATTGCTCTATCCAGGTAAAGGTATGCTTTTCTTTCTACGTGCAATCTACTGCTTTCTAGTTCCTCTTTGCTTCCTTGAATTTCATCCAGCTGGATTTGTGTAATCTGATATTTTTCACCTCAAACAGTTAGTTATGTTCATCCATCTCAAGTGGAAGTGTAGTGCACGTCCCGTTTTTTTATTTTATGTGGCAGCTTCACACTTTTCCTGCACATGCACACTCCTCTCTGACACACACACATCTATCTATCTATCTATCCACTGGCTCAACTGCATCTTGCTGTCCTTTGCACTTCTGTTCTGCAAAGAAAAACTGCAGTCCATCGCAAAAAGTAACGGGGCATTTTTACATAACAGTCATTTTTCCCCTTTTTATGTAATAGTCTGGACTGAAAAATGTCTCATACTTTTCTTTTCTTTTCTTTTCTTTTCTTAAATCTGTGTGTGTTTCTTCATTTACAGACACTGACCCACTCGGTTATCCTGCACTCTTCACAGACCACGTAGCAGCACCAGTGGAACTTGCAGTTGCAGCGCTCGCTCCGCGTCTGCTGCAGAATGTTGTGCCCCCTCCCGCAGCACAGGCTCTCGCAATTGTCCATGCCGTGGCTGGTCTTGTTGCAGATCCGGCCCTGTGTGCCCGCTGAGTCCGAGCCCAGGTCCCGCTCGCAGAAGTCCGGCGACTTTTCGAAATACACCAGTTCGTTGATGCTTGGCCGCCGCCGGTGCGCGTGGTGGTGATTGTTGTGGTTGTGCTGATGGTGGTGGTGATGGTTGTGGTGGTTGTGATGGTTATTGTGGGAGTGGTCCAGCTGTCCGGTGTTCCGGTTGTGAGCCTTGATGAGCGTGGCCACGTGGAAGCGCTCTTTGAGGATCGAGCCAACCACCCGGAACTCCGGAGTGACCTGCCAGCAGGTCTTCAGCTGGCAGCTCCCAGACGTCCCGTGGCACTTGCATTTCCTTCTCATGTGGTCAAGCACCACCTGCGAGACACACGGACACAACAGACAGACAAAACAGAGGGTAGGATGGAGGGAAGAAGTAGGCAGAGGTAAGGAGGTGAGGGGAAGAAGGAAGGAAAATGACAAGGATTGATGCCTCTGTTAATTGCTGGTTGCATTCCAGGTGCTGAACAACCAAAACTTGTACATTGTTTTTGGTGAACCAAATGGCACAAATAATCACTGCAAAAATTTTAGTTCTACATTCAGAAATCCAGGTGGTCTGACAGTGAATATGTTGTTAAACATGGGGATATCAAATGACATGATGGATGCAGGCATTACCCAAACAGACAGGACAACCATTATTCATCGTCTGGCATTAAGAAAATGACTCCAGGCATGACCCACATGTAACAGCACATTAGGCATCGGGGCATGACAATATTTCCATATTTTCTGTAATGGTTTAATACTACCCAGTAGAACCACACTGTACATCAACAGTTAACGCCATTGCCTGAATGAGGCTCAGTGGCTGAAAACATGATCCTACACACTATTTAACTTTTTACAAGGTCTAAAAGAGGAGTTTTTTGGTGACAAGGGTAAGAATGTGCATCCTCAGCACAAAACCTTTGCTTAGACCATAAGCAGCCCTGCAGAGCCCATCCATCAATGCCACTGTTGCACTGGCATAAACACCCATACATAGACAGACTATTACTACATGGGATGAGCCTTGTCCATCTCGGTAATGTGTTTATGCCTTTCTGTATATGTGTGTGCACTTGTATGTTGGTGTGCATTTATCAGTCAGCACCGGTCCTAAATTCTAAGATCCAATTACCAACAGGAACACCAGGCCACCCAGAGCACTGACAGATGCCACTGCTGCCACCCCTATCAACACACACACATTCATACACACACAGACTGAACACTAAAGACAAATCTAGACATGTGATAACAATAAAGCTACATATCATCACATACAAGAACTATAGAAAGATGTATGTATAATTCTGTAATGGTAAAAGTTAGGTTTAGGTACCTTATGAGTGTGTGTATGTGTGTATGTATGTGCTTGTGCTAGTTTTTTGTTCATTCAGTTTTTACTTTTGCTTGCACCTGCTGTCTTACATACTATTCAGCATTAGCATATGCATGATGCACAGTTTTGATGTTATGTGTGCATTTCTACTACGTTATACTATGAACGGTGACTTATACGTCAAGTATTGTAACTAAATCTAAGAATCAGTAAAAAATATTGTGCCAAGCACACTAACAGACACAACTAAAGTATTCAGTTGATTTTATTCATTAAAAAAGACATTGAGTAAACAGTTATGTCTGCAAAAATATTTACCCTCTAAGAAACGCAGAACATTTGAGAAAATTAGAAGTTAAAAACTAATCCCGCAGTTTAAAACTACTTAAAATGCAATATTATAGTAATCATGCAAACTAGTTTTAGGCTTTGCATCATTGCATGTTTTGCTTATAACATGTTTGAGAAACAGAAAGTGACTTGTAAATGCACATTTTAGGATAAGCAGATAAACAGAGAGTGTTGAAATGAAAAGTTTAAAGAGCTGCGATCTGTGGCGAGTAGATACTAGAGGCTGTAAGATTTTATAGTAAACAACTCTAGAACAGTTCAAACAGCACTTGCACTGCAGTTGGGATTGCAGCTTCTGGTTCAGATTTTACATAGAGGCAGTGGCAAACCCAGAATCACAAACGTACTGGCCTTAAACACACAGCAGAGTCTGTAATCATGAAACGCTCCTGCCCACTTAAACCTTGAAGACACAAACTGACCCAGTAGTCATAATTGCATCCATATTGCTACTGTTTGATGGAACATTCGCAGAAGTATAGGGGTTACTAAGAGCTGTACGACAGCAAAAACAGCTACAGAACTATTTCTCACTGCAACAGAAGAAACAAAGCTTTTCTAAAAAGAGAAAGTTAAGTAATTTGGTTGATTTAGTAGGCCTTTCATAGTCATTCTTATAAGGGGAGACGTTTTTCAGATGCTGAGACAACATATAGACAACTTGTTGCCCCGCATTAATAAACACTAGCGTGCAAAAATGCCATTCTCCAAGGATTGGCACTGGTCTTCCAACCAATTTTCAGTACTTTCTATTTCTATTTGATGATGCATAGTGGAACAAAGAGCACTTTCTCCATTTGCAATAATTGTGAAAGATACAGCTGTAAATACCCTCTTTGACCAATAAAATCTTAAATGGCAAATTTCAATAAGAACACAATTAATTCAGTCAAATGCAATTTAGAAAGTCTTAAAGTTCTTATTATCATTTAGTTTTTCCAATTGTTGTCTGGAGAAGCATTGTGAAGTCAAGCTTGCTCAATAAAATCCAAATGGAGGGTGATCTGTTCATCCAAAAAGAGATGAAAAGCCATTTGCAGGATTTATTATAATATATTTAGTTAGACTCACTAATGCATCATCTTTGAACCAAACAATTACTCATCCATAACAATATATATAATTAAAATAGAAGTGCATCAAGATATTACAGTAAGGGAAGAGGTCTTCTCCTTATAAAGTGAAAGCCCTGAAAAAGAGGGACATCAAAAAGAGATTACTTTGAGTTGTTTGTCTGCTTTGTACAGCATGTTAAGTTTAAAACTTTTTATACCTTCTTCCAACTCAAATCAGTGCAAACCCAACCTGTGAGAGCTACAACCCTTCAAGAAAATCAGCTGCACTTGCATCAAGTTTTCCCACTTCTACCAATTCATCATCAGAGGGACGACATCTGTTGTTCTTTTTTCAGTGTGTATTTGTACATGAAACATAGCGTTGAAGTGCCGCACACCCTCCTCTCTGACTTTGCAAGCTCCAAAAACCTCAACAAAAGAAAATATCTGCAGGTGAAACGTGCTTTATGTGTGTGGGAAATACTCTCTTGGCATGAGGATGAAAGGCAAACAGGTACAGCTCACACCATGAACAAGTGAGAGGAAATAAGGAAGCTGTCTGCTCTTGTTCTATCAGAAGTGGTCTGCCAATAAGACATGTGGTCTGATCCATCTGACAAAGATGATAAAAAGCATAAATCAAATACCTTAAGCACAAGTGGAAATAAAGGCAAGGGCAAGAGGACATGAGGGATAAACTACACATGATGGAAAAAGAGGTGACTGGAGGGCACGGCCTTCAGATCTATCTTTGCCATCCTGACACCATTTAATTCACAAAGGGCACCTCTGTGTAGTATTGTGTGGGTGGTATCACACGTGTTATCACACAACACCTGTCCATCTGGATGTCATTTTCCATATAGATTAGACCACAATCTGTACTGCTATATATCCTCATATCACACTTTTGGCAGCCTGTTGCAGATAGTCCAGAGCAAGGCACTTAATATTGCTTTAACCAAACAAAAAAAAGAATATATGGTAATTGAATTCCACTGAGTACTCATGGTTATCCGAAGCATTTTCAACTGCCTGGTTAATACCCAACAGGAATCAGACGCACAGGTATTTGTTACTTCTCGACCACTGCTTTCCACTCGGTATAAACCAGCCTCAGTCCAGACTGTCATCTCATTTGTGGTTAGATTTAATTATTTATATCCTATGTTGGAACAAGCTACGAGATGCTTGCTGAACAGGGATGTTCCTCTCTACCTTCAAGAGTGTCATGTAGACTCAACTCTTCCTTGTAAACCACATTCTACACATCTTCTCACAATCTTTTTGAACGTTCTTATTAGAATGCATTGATATACAGTTCAAACTGCATGAACAAGACTAACCCTGACCCTAAAACCTATCCCCTGCCCAACAATTTACTGAGTGACTCATTTTAATTGCCAATTATTTGTGAACAACCTAGAGAGACTGGATTGGATACATTGATCTGTTAATTTACACTTTGGTTTACACTGTATATACACTACTTAGACTTAATTGCTTTAAGTCAGTTCTGGACCATGGTTAGAACAAACATCTGGCACGTTTTATTGGGTTTAGAGAGTAGACAGAGACATCTATAAAACAACCCCAGACAGAGATCAAATACGACATATTGGTAGCAGACAAGGACTGGAAGCTGCATAATACAGTAGACCAGGGAAAAGTAAATCCAGAATACTGTGTAATGTAGAGGTGTAGATTAAATAAACTTAAGATCAGAACCATACCACAAGGTGATTTTGAGAAACAAATAACAATAATTCTGGGGGGCATATGACCAAGTTCCCCAGACAAAATCAGTCAGGACCACCTGATATTTTGTGGCATGCCAGTTAAACGATAGTCAAAAATTACAGTGAATTCTTTTTTTTTTATAGAACATACAAACTTAATGAGGCAGTTCAATTCGTGCATGTACTTGCCTGCTGCAGTTATGTTGAAACACATATTGTGATACAGGATCAGTGTATGCCAAAGGTTAAGCATTACTATACCCCCTTTAGCCTGTTACATCCATCCTGCCATCGTATTTAAATGCTAAGCTGAACCGGTACTGACTCAGTGGTGATGAAGCAGGCGGTGATGACCAACAACATTTGGAAAATCCTGTGTCATGCGGCATGACACAGGACCGCAACAAAAATATCCCGTCACCATCAGATAAGGATTTGTTTGTCTTAGCTTGTAACTCTTCTTCACGGAAGAAAACATTTCGTTGTACATTCACTGTCAACTGTCACAGACAGGATTCCTGCTTTTATTTTTATTTTCTGGCATTCAATATCACCTTAAAGCATTTGTTTCCAACATCCAACATGATATTTTCACCATGTGGAATTATAAAGTTAAGGGATGATATTGTCGGTAATAACCAGCTTAACTACATCAGTAAATCTGTGCTTTATTCCATGTTTAGTTTGGTGCTTTGAAATTAATCACTGGCCAATCCCTGTGTCATCACCACTAACCGCATTTGGGGAAATCCTAATCTAATGTCTGCATGTCCTATAGCCGACCCTTCTCCCAGATAAACGGCAGACTCGTCCATTTGCTACCCCGGAGTTTGCCAGTTCAAAGCGAATCTACTGAAGGTCCTTAAAGCCGAGCAGAAAGCTGAGGCGATATCAAAGCACACAAACAAATCCCACAGCAACACATTAAACCCAGACATCACTTTAAACAAATCAAACGCCTTGCTTCAAAAGAACAGCTAAGCATACGCAGACAAACACACACGCTAGCACAATGACATGCAATTACAGCACAAATGCGTATATACAGAGCGCTTTGCTGTGTAAGAACCTGTGTGCGTTTGTGTCTATGCAGACAGCATTTACTCACTGTTAATTGCACACAGTGTCCACAGTTCTCATTTAGAGAGACTAATAAAATGTTATTACCCACATAAGCAGTTCCACCTGTTGAGCTTTTACTATCAAACATTTGTTGGTGTGTGTACTTATGCATGTGCGTAACTAAAACAGAGTCATAACGACAAAGATTTCTTGACTTCGTATGTGTGTTCAGATGCATGCTTTAGTGCATGCACTGTTCGTAAAATCCGATTAGATTCTGTCCTTCTGGGCTGTCAGGAATGCTTTTGCACACCTCTGATTAAATGAAATCTAATGCACTTTTCTTTTTGGTTGTGAGTCAGTGACTAACCATGAATGGTTTCTTAAGAGCAGTTTATCATTGCTTAAGAGTTGAATTAGCCATGAATTTGGGAGTCTCAGTAAAGCTGGTTTGGGCAGATCTAGAATTCATTCTAAGTCATAAAGACTTATAATTCTTTCACTGTGGTGGTGTAACAATGTTAATATGATTCATATGTATATTATAAATGATCAAGAAGGAGACATGTGGTTTGCTTGGGACTTTAAAAGTAACATTCTACGTTCAGCCGGCAACCTGAGCCATCACCGAAACTCATCCATAACCAATAAAAAGACAAAGCTTTAACTATTATTATGTATGTGAGTGACCGAAATATGGAGATCCAGGGGAAATGTCTTTAAACATTGAATTGTTTACGAGTCTGTTTGATGACTATGCAGCTCCAAAATGTATAAAACTGTGCAAGTGATTGAGCCTCGTATTATTGCTTCGAACTGGTCTTCGCATGGTGCTGTACGTATTCAAAAGGAGGGATGAAACTGATTCAAATTAACAGTTTCCTTCTTGAAATCCGGCAACCTTTCTTACATTACACTCCTGAAGTTGATAAATTGGAATTATCAGAACACGTTTGGCTATAAAACAGTAGTCTTTTGCATAGCCAGCATTGTAACCACCTGCTTAATGAACAGACAGGCTTCAACAGAACCTTGAAATGGCTTTTAGAGCTAAAACATGAACATAAGGCACCCTGCCAAGCATTTGCTTTTAACAGTGAATTTCTAGATAAGAATACTGAGAGATGAGAAACTGTAGCTATGAGATTTATTGTCAGTTGATGTTTCCTTGTTTCAAACCTGCTTATTAAAGCAGTTGTGTGACTGGAAATTATTAACTCAACCGGTGGCTGAATTGGCAGGAAAATGATTTAAGTAATCTATGGTGCTACTGATGTAATGAAATAATTTGTAGAAGTACTGCTTGTTCCAAGTCCTACTGGAGAGAAGCTGGAGCAGTGAGAGCAAGAAAGGGGGAAAGAAGGGAGGGAAGGAAGGGCGAATCTCTTTCTACTTTCCGCCCCACTGTTTGAAGTCTAAAATCTTTTGCAGGGTTTTAAACATCTGTTTCCAAACTGCCAGCAGTCACTAATTAGGGCTAAAAACAAGACAGGACGCCGTGAGAACCCTGGGGTGGGCATGAGGCAACATGCACACCCCGCGAAAAAACCACCACATTCCTCTGCTTAAAGACTACTTCTCTGAAAGGAGTGAGTGGGGCAGGGGGAGGGCCGGGGTGGAGGGAGGTGAAGCGGTGGTGGTGGGTTGGTGGGAGGAAAGACATACGGGACGGGTAGGCATTATTTTGAGGCCCCACCTGTCAAGGTTTTTCTATTTGATCCACGGATCCGTGTGCGCACACGTATGTGAGTCCTATGTGGTCTTAATAGGCTTTATTGGCCCTTTCAGGGGAAGTCATAAGATGTGGCGCATTTTACTGTAACAGCTCCGTGATGACTCACAAGTTTGTTCTTCTTCTCCCCCTCCTTTGTCTGACTGTCATCCCTCACTCGTCTTTTTGGTTCCTCTTTTACTCCTCGATTTTGCCCCTCAGCGCTTTTCTCCTGCCTTTTTCTGGCAACAGTTTGGTGCGCCGTGTCATGCTCGAATTCCCATCACAGTTTTTATTGACACTTAGAATAAGAAATGAAGTGTTGACTGGAAGTGATACATGTGTAAGCAACTTCAAATAAAGCTAAAAAAATATGCATATGCCCACTTGAGGTAGTTTTAGCCTAATTAAAAAAGACTTTTGTCTTGGGAAAAACAAATGATAAAATCGTGTAAATAACTGGGGACGATGGAAATGTATAGGACATGCTTCTATTGCTCTTTAAATCAGATAAGGTGACATGTCTGAATGGAAAGTAAAGTGAAACCATTCAAAGGAAATAGAAAAGACTTGATGTATATCAGGGAGAGTTGACACTTTGTGAAATGAATTGGATCAAAATCTACCAAAATGATATGAAGTAATGTACCAGATATTACCAGAAAACATGTGTACATTTAGCTTTTATGGATGTCCACCACAGTATTTGTTGTTATTTAAACTCAATTTAATATGTAAGGGCTCTGGTTTTTGGTTAGTACTATAACTTGTATTGAGTAACAAGCACTGATGACATATTGATATTTATTTTTTCTTTTGTTTTTTTTGCATTTTTTAAAAAGATTGCTCCAGGTTTGCCTGCCTAGTGGAAAACATCTGATATTCTTATCAAAACAATTAAGCCCATTCTCCACTAAAGCATCCATTAGGGCAATCTTCTGAGTTTGACAAGATAATAGGGACAATCTCCTTGCTCCAGTCTAGCTAAAGTTGAGAAGTTTTTAGTTATCAGATCAAAATAATCAGATAAACCAGATGCTAAAGATATTAACTTGGTTCTCTAGCAAGGTCATCAGAGGCCATCAGGATGGAGTCTGAAAGTAAAGTTCTGGAGTTCTTGGTTTTAGTTAAAGTGATTCATTTCACTGATTATTTGGAGTGAAGAGCTACATATGTGGAGTCTTGAATACTACAACAAAGATTAGTGTAAATAATCCAAATACTATTGTCAGCCAACCAATAACAAACCTTAAATAACTGGGTCCAGTTTTTAATTTGTGTTTCTGATCTATTGTTACACAATTGTCACCATTCGCCAGTAAAAGAGCATTATCTAAAGTTATCAGACAACCTATAAATAATCCCTGTAAGGGTGCATTTGTATTCATCATTGCATTTTTTAAAACTTTGATTTAGCATTTTGAATTAATAAAAGCCCTCAACATTCCTAAGAAGAAGAGGTGTCAGTGTTGTGTTTAATTGCATTTCTTCAGGATTTGTGGCTTCAAAAAAGACAGCCGACGACAAACCACAATTATACCTGGAATGTTTGGCTGCTAGTGTGTAAGTCATTCTACTATCTCTAAATGTTTAATTATATTGAAGATTGTGGCGGCAAGAGGGACAGAATAAACACAACATACATGTGACCATACTGTGGTCCTTACCGCATCTAAACAAAACGAGGTGGCCTCAAAAGGCAAATGGTTCCCGTTCATTGGCTCAGTAATTCATCATCACCCGGCATGTCACCCCCCACCCATGTTTATCCCCACGTCCACAGCACTGATTGGAACTTATGTCACCATCACTGCGTGTATGACTGTTTCTACCACTACAGCTACTACAGGGACGCCAGCTGTTGCGTTGGCCTGACAAGCACCACATTTGTGTTTTGTCTGCATAATCAAGGAAACCAGAAGTAAACTGATGAAAAGATACAGGCCCAAATTACTCAGGAGGAAACGGGGAACAATGAGCAATTTACTGTTGCTTCTTGTCTCTGTGGCACCACAGCGCTAGATGTTGCCAGTGCTTATCACTGTCATTTACATCTTTCTCCTCCATTGCCAAAGGCAAAAATCCTCCAGAACAATGTTGGAAATGTATCTGGAGTTTATGCACCACTGGCACTTTTATCGATTGTGGCCAGTTTTAAAAATAGCCATTTGGATGAGAAAAACTTCTAGTGAAAATCAGATCACTACACCGACACAACACAGAGTGCCATCTTCTGACAATTTGGAGACAGTGAGTGCTATCTTTACTCTTTGAGCTGGAGAAAAGATGAAAAGCAGTGTGCCATAAGTAGCTGTACAATCATTCAAAATCCGAGAAAGAGAAATTGATGTAATTGCTCTAAGAGCAACAAATTCCTAAAGAAAGACATCAAAAGTAAAACAGATCAATCAGAACTGCACCGTCATGTTTGTGTATATCATGATGTACATCCTGTGCTACTTCTTCCAGTGCTCTTCCTGTGATTTCATTGTATTAGTGGCCACTTATTTTTTCCTTAAGGGCAAGCCTGTTTTGAAGGATATCATTTTGTTGTTGTCAAGATAAATCAATTTAGTTTATCTCTTTGACTGTATTGTTTTTAAAACGCTCAACGAATAGAATTGGATTGATTTGATCAAGCACTTTTTTAATGTTTCCAAGAAATTAAATTAATATTTTCAATATAAGTCATTTGAATGTCTGGTATGATCAAACTGAAGAAAATCTAATGCGGTGTGCTTACGTAAAACAGCGATGCGCACAAAAACACTCACCTGCCTTCCAACTCTATTGTTATGCAGCCTCATGCGAGCGTGAATGTCTTTGTAGGTCTCACGGGCGTCCAGAAAATCTCGCGAGAATTTCTCTCCGAATTCCACGTCGGGGCTGCATCCGCCCCACTCCCAGGAGTCCTGGGGTCCCGGCAGGTCGGCGGGGAAGTGCTCCATGACGCCGTGCACCATGCCCTTCCCTCTGTGGATGGCCTCCAGCTGCAGGCGGTGCAGCTTGATGCGGAAGGCCTCCTCGTCCCCGCGCCGCTTCTCGTCGCAGCCGCACGCCTTCAGTTTGCCCATGGAGCACGCGTTGGCCACCGCGTGCACCACGCCCGCCGCGGCGATGGCGTACGCGAAGGCGCTCTCTCTGAAACCTGTTCGGCACGAGAAGCAGATAGATGTGGGGGTAATTAAGGCTCATGCATTCCATCCGTCCATTATCAATACGGCTTAGTCGCAGGGGGAACTGGAGCCTATCCCAGTGGTCAACGGGCGAGAGGCAGGGTACACCCTGGACAGTCCGCCAGTCCATCGCAGGGCCACACACAGGACATACAAGGACCAACAACCACTCACACTCACATTCACTCCTAAGGGCAATTTTCCCAATCTCCAATCAACCTAACATGCAGGTTTTTGGACTGTGGGAGGAAGCCGGAGAACCCGGAGAGAACCCACGCAGACACAGGGAGAACATGCAAACTCCACCCAGAAGGGTCCTGGTTCCCCCGGGATTCGAACCCAGAACCCTCTTGCTTGGAGGTGACAGTGCTAACCACCACACCACCGTGCCGCCTAATTAAGGCTCATGTGGAAGTAAATGATTATTAAGTCGTGTGATGACACCAGTTAGCTCTGAACATGTTCTCAGTCACCACAGCTATCACACAGGCGTTGAGTGAACTCACATCGTCAACTCGCTGTGTCCAAAATTCTACAAGCATCGTATGAAAGATACTGGAAAAGTTCACCTAAGGATTAAATGGGATATGGATCCATGCCATGAAGTTTCTGAAAAGCTGTCGCGGATGCTGCGAGCTGATGAAGTCTAAAAAAGCCTGCAGGCAGAGCATGCCATTTTGTATGTGTCATGAGCCTGTCAGGTGACATGAGCTATGAAAACTGCACTGCCTTTTACAAAGATCCTTCTTCACACCTCTGTGGCATAGGTGTTAGCTACACAGGCATTACTTATTCGCAGATATCAACGAAGCCTTTTTCTTTATTTACGGTGTTAAAACGTCCAGATCCAAACTGTTCCTAACCTTAAAATACCCAGAAAGACGAAAAGAGACGTAAAGTTGGCTCTTCATTGCTGTGGCATCTTTATTTCGTTCAGGCTAAACAATGTGAAAGACAGTATATTTACTCATTTATATCCACGGAGGCCTAAGCTTATAAAACAAGAGGAAACACCTGGGACAATAGCAATTAGGTGTTCCAAACACTTACGTATGTCTTCTCTGTGGACCGGCTGAGCATGAACAGACCCCCGCCACTCCCATTAGAGGATGCACGGGGGAGTTATGCATTGTGACTGAACAGGGCTGTGTCTCCTTCTGTCTGTCCTACTGGTCACATAAGAGATTTTCGGCTGTATGGCTTACCACGCTCAGCTTAAAGCGTTAAACTTCAGCAGATCAGCAAGAAGCAGGGGTTGTGGCATTCCTGATGAGCTAATCTGGTCCAACGTTCTCCATCTTGCATGAATCTTTCATGTGGATGGAGACCGTTCACAGACTTAGTCCCTGAGTTTGTCTGGCTTAAAGGTAGCTGCAGTTTGATCCCTTTGCTATGTTGAGCATTTCAAATATTTTGATGTGCCTGTTAAGCTTTGAAAAAGATACATTAGATTGAGTCACTCCGCAGTTTTTGCTTATAACACTAGATATAACACCTAACTAAAGCTCAGCTAAGTAAAGAGGTGTGTTGAGTGTACATGCATTGTGTAATGAGTTTACCTCCCATGTAATGTGTGTACCTACAGAGAGCAACGCAGTAATTTTCAACACTAATGCTAGAGTAGACTTCTCCAACACACAGATACAGACACGCATGCAAAAGCGTCACATCTACGCTGATGTAGACAAAGACATCCATGTCCAATTGTGGAATCTGTGTATACTGAATATTGAAGTGTGACAGAAACACTTTCACTGGTACCCTCTGTGGTGTTTGTTGTTAGATCTCAGCTTACTGCCTGCAAAGGTGCCCTCAGGTTGTGTAAAAGCAGCCCCACTGGCAGTCACTTGCTGGTTTAGAAAATAGTGAGGATTAGAATGGAAACTTGTAAAGAAAACATGAAAAGAAACCACTCAGGGGTTTATAGCATAGTGCTTCAAGGGGGAAATGATTTAGGCTGCTTGTTGGAGTCAAATAAAAAACTATTAACTGGAGCTGCCCCTTTTAAGAACATTTTGAGGTTACATCCTTAAAAAGCAGCGCTGTTTTGTTTTTTTGTGAGATATGGTGTAATGTTTGACGCAGTTGCTGCCATTCTGACCTTCTTTGCTCAGCATACTTAATACTGAACACATAAAAACTCAGAGGCAGCCTAATAAAGAGTAAATGGGAAATTCACAAACTGAGCAAGAGTTGAGTTTGGGCAAATATGCAAACATTTTGAAGTTTTTATATTTTCCCCACATTCCAGCCCGGCCTCATGGAAATTTGTAGAAAAGTCACAAAGAAAGAACATATCTCATAAATCGAATGGAAAACAACTTGTTTTTGATAAACAGCTAAACTTTTTTTTTAATGTTTTGAGATTGAGGTGAAGGTGCAAAGGATTTTAGAAAACATTTGCAGTGCACATTAATAGAAGATTGTTAACCTTCAAACTTTGGGCTCCAACAACTACTTTCACTTTTAATATGCTTACTATCCATGTACTCAAGGGTCTGAAGCTGCTCAGTTCATAACTTTGGTTCCAGCATAATGAAAAACTATATTGTTTCACGTTTTGTCTCTTTTTAGAATTTTCATGAGATATCAAAGATTCATTTTTGGCCTCACTATTGTGATACAAAAATTAACGTCTGTTATGATTTCGGGGCTGACATGGAGATTTGTTTTTATGACAGCTGAGTTGCATCACACAAAACAGAGGAACAACTATATGCCAAATTATATGATGTTATTCTAATACGAACCAATTTATGTTTTCTGGACCTCAGCAAGTTGGGTTTATAGCCTATACTAGCCAAGGAGTCAAAGTAAAAAGAAAAAGGAAGTATATAATTCAGCAGAGTTTAAAAGTTTTGACCTGAAGGGGAGACAAGCTTGGATTTCCTATGTGGGTGTAAGATCAACGCAAATGATCTCCTCTATGTGTAGACTTTCCCTTCTGATCACATGAAAAGCTACCGCAAGTATAAACTACTTTCAAGGCTCCCTTGTTTGGATCTTAGACTTAACCAAACAAAGATGTTTCTTTCTCTAAAGGCTGGCTTTCTTTTTTTCTTAATTTATATCAACTCTAATCTATGCTAATGTTTCTATTCACAAAACTGTTTAATTAACTTTACTTTGATACATTCACGTGTACAAATATTCTTCCAAAAAGCAAATTGTGACATGAAAAACAGATAAATAAATATATATAGATGTGTGTGTCTGTGGGTGTATACACGTGTGTGTTTGTGTATAGTTTCACTCACGATGTCACCCCCCCCCCCCCTCCTTCCTCCTCCACCCTTCCACCTTGACCTGCACAAGGTGGAGGAGAGGAGATGGCACTTAGGCACATCCTCCTACATAGAAAGCCTGTTTTAGCTCTTGCCCTGCTCTGCTCTGGGCTCTGCAGCGCAGGCCCCTGGACGACTGGGAACAAATCAATCTAACAAATAATTCACTGGCTGCGGCACGCCCGGCTGAACTGATGGCAGAGGAAGTGGCAAAATGAATTAAAGATTCAAGGGAGACTGTCACTTTGTGTTACAGAAACCCACTAAACAGGTTTATGCTTTTGCCGCCGAGAGTTGGGAAAGTGCTGAGAGCAAATTCACAAGTTCTTGCTTTGGCAAGGAAAGTAAAAGCATTAGGGGGGCAGCCCAGTGAAAAAGGAAGCGAGGGAGAATGAAAGAAAGACAGAACGAAATGGAACAATTATCCTATTTCTGTCCATCTTTTTCCTGGATTCCTCTTTAGCCTAGTTTGGATGTAAGCGAGCAGTAATGAACCCCCAGAAGTTATGTGGGACCAGCATCAGAAGGATCCAATCAGCATCTCATACACCAAAATGAAACACCAGAAATAAACTTTGTGCTGGGGAACACCTGGTCCCTACCAATAAGGCAAGGTTTTAGCAGCCTGTGCCTTGCTATTACGTTGGAAAACCGTAGATAAACACGTCAAAGAAAACACCAGTCTGGCACTCACAGGTCTCGTGCGAGAATGTCAGTTATTCTTCTACAGGCGGTTACCATGAAAGCCCTCCCTTTGCCTAATCCATGTCTGTAAACATGCTGCACTGGAAGCACTGCCCCTCTGCAGTAGCTGCACGCAATAGTGGCTGCAGCATGTTCACTTCTATCCATTTGGTAGCTTCTGAAGCAAGGATTGTATCAACTCGTAACAGATGAATCATCTGATTTAAAGAGGTTGTTTATATCAGTGGTTTGGAGTTTCTGCACCCGAGGCAAACCAGGGATGCCAGACAACCAGCAAACTGAATACGCTAATAGTGACAAACAGCCTTTAATGAGTCAGTGAAGCGTGCATTCATTTTTCGAAAAGGTTTCTCTCACTTGAAAGAATGTACGCTTCAACTTGGGTGACAAAACTAAACACTGCACAGCCACGAAAGACAAACAGTTGCAACAGGATCTGGCATATCAATTGTCCCCCTTTTATTCTGTAAAATAGAACAATTGTGCCACTTTTTGAAAGAGGCTAACTTCAACAGAGTATTTTTCTTAACATTTCTTCAAAATTCGAACAAGAATATAACTGTTTATATCAACTAATGAAATGACTTTAAACTTCTCAAACTCTTGTGCAACGGTGTTAATTTCAAATGCAACGTAATGCCTTTATGAGAACACCTTCCATTCGTTTTCTTAAAAACTGAAAGTGCACAAACCATAACACACAAACTACCAGCCATATTGTGTATTTGTCTATCAATCCAGGTGCTCGGGCTGCTAAGAAATCAATGCCTTTTCCAGTCCATAACTTGGTATTTGGCCGTTTTGAAAGCTTCTCATCTCTAAAGATCCTCTTTCATCCTTTGTGGCACACTTGCAAAGCTTGAAGAACAACAAAGCAACAGAGAAAACCGATCTGCATGAGGTCTGGTAATCTGGAGGTGACTAACTGCTTTTGAAGTTATCTTTTCCATTATATTTGACATTGAGAAGCAACAGTAGGGTGGTTAGAAAAGAGGCATCAGGCTGGTGGTGACTAGCGATAACTTGACCATTGGCGGACATGCAGTGAGACAGCATTGATGAATTTTACCTCGGGGGAATATGATCTCCCTTTATAGTCGTGTTTGAAGAGTAATATTATATGATCTCTTGTTTAGGACCTTTTGTGTCTCAGCACTGGCTAATCTCGCTAAGCTTATCCTTTCAAGTTGCTTCATTGAAGTGTGTTTGAGAAGAAAACCACATTTTAAAATCCAAATTTTACCCTATTAGCCTGCTATGAGAGTTCCACTTAAAAGCCTAAATAAACCTCTCCTTTATGTAGGCTTTTCAATCAGATGCATATGATAAAAGAAATTCTACTTTCCCCAAACTGCCACTTTTTCGTGTGTAAGACAGACAGAACCAAATAAAGTGACTGCAAAACTGACCTCTTTTGAAGACAATGCTGTCATATGGTATTTTGTTTCTGGTCTCCAGGCTCGAGCAGTTCCAACGGTGCCCTCTGAACTGGTACTGGCACTCGTGGATGGCAATCTGGATTCCCTGGATTGCCGAAGCCGTCACATCGGGATTGCGCATGCACACCTCCAGTTGGCGCCTCGTCAGGCCTGGCAGTGTCAGACACACTGTGTTGGCGTTCAGGATCGGTTCGATGTTGGGAAGCTTCAGGCCCAAGATTTCATTGGAGTCCACCCTGCACGGAGCACACAGGTCAGGTTATTGGCAGGACGAACGCGCAACTCAAACCTTCTGTTTCTGTTTCTACTCGCTTTTGTAAGGCTCTAAAGTCTAGTTGGGACGAGTACGGTGTCTGCTAATGATTTTCGGGTGCGACCCCAATGTTCAGTTCCCACAGTTACTACAAGATGCCCCGAGCTGATGGTTGATTCCCATAAAACCTAAAAAAAATATACTTACATTGTGGGTTAGCGCTTGTAAAAAAAAGTCTCCAGATGCTAGCAGCTTGAGAGGAAAGTGTTCTCTCAAATTAGGCTTTTCAGATTAATTGAAGTTTTTAATACAACAAAGTTGAATAACAAGATCTCAAATCTAAACTTCAGCTTCAAAGATCTCTTTAAAGGCAACAAGATCGTATTGGTTATATAGGTTTCAAAGTCATGTGTTAACACAGGCCTTATTCAACCCCATGTCCATCAGTTTCAGAACGATCCTCAAAAACATTCTTTGGTAAAAAAAAAAAAAGGAAAAAAAACACCTGCGTCCTAAAATCAGCAGAGGAATGCGTATTTACATATTAGCCAGGACATAAGGTGTGTCTGCACTCCACTCTATAATGTCACTGTTGCAAATCAATCATGCCAACAACAGTAATTCAGCTGACAGCCGTCTGTAAGCTCTTTCCTTCTTCACAGAGGAGCGGCAACAGCAGTAACGAGGAAAACACAGGCTGCGCTGATGATGGTCCAAGAGGCTGAAAGCTGCCCTGCTTCACTTTTCATTGTCATTACGTGCACAACACGGGTTGTTTCAGTAGGAAGTCCTGCACTGCAAGCAGTCGAAAAACATGAGTAGTTCTGGGAAAACAAGCGTGCACCATTTGACATGCAATCACACACACACACACAGAATACCCCGGTGTGAAGACAAGTGTACAGTTACTGCTATGTGCACGCCACCTTGCAGTTTTTGTAACACGTGAAACTCTTTAGGAGTACAAAGAACAGAGAGAAAAACTTAAATCACCGTTCCACCACCATTTGCTCCCTGAAGCAAACAGCCTGGATTTGACTTTAAAATCAATAAGTACAACTTGCCTTGACACGTTCATGTGCACGATAGTGAGGCACTTTGAAGATGGCTTTGAACAGTGTTCACCTGAATTCCAGTGACAGTTTCTACCTGTTGTGTTTCCTGCTCTGAGAGAAAAACCTCTTCTGCAGAGGTGATTGTTTTATAATGAGAGTTTACATACGAAGCAAATAATTAGTTAGCACCTGCAATAAAATCACTTTAAAAAAGTTTACAAAGTATGATTTGATTAATATCATAGCATATTTTACTTCCAAGCAGTGTAGGTTATTAATAATTTATGTAAGCCTTAATGAATAAAGAATCACTTTTGCAGTGGTAAAGCTTCTAATTATTTATTCACCATGTCTTATAATTGATTACTGATACCCCTGAAAGGTATCAGTGATTAATTTAGGTCATTTTATGAGATGATTCATTAAACAAATTAACTGCAGAATTTAGGTTTAAGACAAAATTCACTTTTAGTGTATGGCATGGTTTGAATGCAAACCTTTCCCAGTAATTAAACTCACCTTTTGTCCAGGAGACAGATAATCACCAAGACGAAAGACAATCTGAAGGTTGAGTGATCCATTTTATCCTTGCAATAACATAAAAAAAACGAGTTTTAAAAAAGTATTGGGAGGGGAAGGGGGGTTAAAAAATTGTGTGGAGAAGAGTTTAATTCAATCTAATTCCAGCATTCCGGCTCAGAGTTTCGGCATGAACAAATGAAAGTGTTAAGTTCCTGCGAAAAAAGTTATAGCGCAGGACTTCTCAGCTCCTAAAAAAACAAATGAGTCCAGATGTGACAGCCAGCGGCAAATACTCATTCAAAAGCAAAAAAAAAAAAAAAAAAAACCAAAAAGAAAAAAAAAAGAAAAAAGAAGTTTCTTCAACCCTGCTATTTTACAGGCTGACAGAGTTGGTTACAAGTTTGCAAAAAAAAAAGTTTAGGCTTTCCCCCCTTTCTCAAATACATCCGCGCTCTCGCCGGTATCTCCGCCTCCGGAGCGTTCTGCATTGATAAAACATCTAAAAGAGAGTGACGGCAAGAACTTATAGGCGCTCTAAGTGAAGTCTGCTTGACTGGTGATGTTTTCGGTGCGCTCGGGTAGTCCTTTCCTAAACTACTGCTCTTAACACTTCGCCAGCCCACTTTTTTCTTTTTTTTTTTTTGCGTCACTCGGGGAGTCGGAGAGCGCCGAGGGAGGTCAAGTGCCTCGTTAAAGCGGGATAGAGATCCGCAAAGATAAGGACACCAAAAACACTTAGCCTGCGCCCCTTGTGAGAAGCGGAGCAGCTCCATCCACGGGAGAAAAAGACGCTGAGGATGTGGATGTGATGGAGAGAAAGAGAGAGAGAAAAGAAAGATTTTTAGGAAACAAAACTTTCTCCAATGTTTGATTGCCATGATTATTCAGATGGAATAAAAAAAGATAGGATGAAATAAACAGTGATTTAAAAAAAAGTATAGAATGCTCACCATTACATCAGTTCTGGTGTTTTATTTATTATCAGTTAGGACCACAATCTTCAGTTGCTCTTTTGATGGATGAAGTTCTAATCTCAAGTCAAATGTTGTTAATACGTTGTAATTCTCTGTTGCTATTTGGTTGGATTTTGACTTAAGGTTTGGGAGCACATGAAGGTTTGACTTTAAGCACACCCTCTGACACTGTTTTAAAGCATCCGAGCTATATTTTCCTCGGCGAACCCTCTTCGTTTCCTCGGTTTCCACAATGGCAAGTCCCAAGTTAATGACAGTGTGTTATAGCCAAAAAGACATAGGTTTGTTGCATGAGTTTAATTGTTTGTCAACTCTAACCAGAAACAGAAACTTTTATCAATTTAAAAAACAAAATCTTTGTCAAGTCTGATTAAATTACCAAAGTTGTTTCTTAATCCCCTCCAAACTTCCCATGAAGGAACCAGAAACCAATATCATTGAACCATGTTGCTTGGTAAACCCAATTAAAGTCAGTGGGGGTCTCATCATAGCAGATCAAAATCTCTTGACTTTTCTCTTCTCTTTGAATAAAAAAAAAAGTTTAAATTTTGTAAATGTGTAGTGCCCTGTAAAACTGGTGGTCCCCATTCCTGTTTGACCTCGCCTGTATGTCACAGTCTTTAATCTCTCCATTTAAAAGACTATAAAGTCTGACAAAAAAGCTCTCTTGTTGATGAAAGCCACATGATATCACTCATCTCAGTGCTTTATGAGTAGCTTAGAATAAAGGTTCAGAAACCACAAATAAAAAGGCTTTCCCCTCGTCGTCTCAGAGCAGCGAGCATTCTGCCAGCATGGAGTCACCAGACTGCTGAAACATAACACAGATTTAGCATTCAGACGTAATCCAGCCGCCGTACACAAGTTTAGAAGATTGTGGGGGAAACAATCCCACATCAAATTTTCTCCCAGAGGGATTTATCACTGGGAAATTTGCCGAGGATGGCAAATTTGTGTCTAATTACTTCAAGACAAAGAGGGGGGAGCTGATTTGCATGTAGACTTGGTGGTTGTGTGACTTCGACTTCAGTTCAAAAGCAGGATGTGCCGCGCGCTATCATCTGAATCTCCCCGTCACGCGTAATGACTGTGATAACATTACTGGATGAATCACAGGTCTTTGTAAACCTGACAAGTATGTTGAACCAGTCTAATGACTCCGATAATCAAAAACAGCAGAAGCTCAGCAAGAGGATCTTTGAAATAAAATGGCAAAGAAGTCTTTTAGTGCTGTAAAGTGTGAAAAAAGCTTTGAAGGGACCACATGGGGAACTTTGTCTATATCTAAAGAACTTGGAGATGTAACACAGAGAAAAAAAACTTATTGGAAAGTCAAATGTTGATTTACGTCAAGTATGTGATAAGAATAGTTCTGATCAATTGATCATGGAAATGATTGAATAATTATATTTGGGCTTAATATTATATTGGGCTTGAGGTTAAAATAAACTTAAAACTACATTAGTAGTTCCTCAGCTTTTGCTTTGTAGACGCTCTCATCTGTTACTACACACCACAAAAGCCCCACAAAACACCTTTTTTCCCCTTTCTGTCCCTTGACACATGGGCTTTTGTTGGTTTCTTCATGGACTATCTCTCTCTCTCTCTCTCTTATCTCATGTTTGTGCTTGTTTCCAGGGCTCATGCAGAGATCCTAAAATCAAAACAAAGGCAAACAAATCTCTAGGTTAAGTTTTCAGTTTGAGGCTGTGAGGTTGTGTCTCTTACTTTTGCTTTCCAGTGGTCAGCATCAGGGCACTCTGAGTTTGGGGAAGCCTGGAGGAACTCTCAAGGGGGAGCTAACAGCAACCGAGGAAAGTGACAAAAGTTAAGGCTTCCTTATCATCTATCAAATCATTGTTTACTTTATTATTAATCTCTGAGTCCAGCCATGGCAAATTGCTCTACATCCCTGCAAAGAAGCAAAGATCTAATCAGACATTGGATGAAAATTGACTGTTACTAACACTGATTTCCCCATAATTAAGTGTTTTATTTCTTAAGGAAGTTTTAGCATTACGTTTTTAGGAATTATTAACAGATAGTTACAAAACGTAACCACTTTTGCACCCCTTTTTAAAATGTAAATTTCACAGTGAGAAAGAGGTTCTGAGCACACACTTGCACATGTGCAAAAACAGAACTCTGATACCTTCTCCCTTTGGACCCAGAGCCTGCCGTGAAGACTTAGGTCTGCTCTATCGCTATTCCGAACCGCTTTTGAGTCTCTCTTTTCTTCTGAGCTGTTTCTGCTTCTCCCTCTGACACACACGGTGGCCCGTTCTTCAGCAGGGAGCGTGTTTCTGTTCAGCAACATTCATTAAAAATGATGTGGGAAACATTTCAACCCTATTCCCACTTCGGCCTGACCCCTTGCAACCAGAGACCAGAGACATAGAGACTTTCCTCTGTCACGCTCTTGTTGCCGCTTCGATTCTTTCCCAGTTTTGTTGTAATCGATCTTTTTGTTTTAACACTAATTTTCCTGTGAAAACCTGTATTGTTTGTATTACTTGCACTGTCTCTAGCTCTGCTACGTAAAATATGAAACTGCCAAAAATGTAATTCAATAATGAACCAAAACACTAAGTTTTCCCTAAAGCACCTGCATTTATGTGAGGGTGGCTGGTTCATGGAATCCTTATTGTCCTGCAGTTAGAGACACGACTGAGCTATGTTTTCACAGTCTAGTGGAGAGTGCCATGTAAACATGTTAGGTCATACAGTACTGAGGAATATAGAGTCTATGGTCTTGTCCCATCAGCTTGTTAAGTTTTTGTGTGGTGGAATTATGAAAGTTACACCTTTTTCTCACTTGTAAAGCTTTGAGAGACAATGTCATCACTAAATTTACACACTGAACGCACATTATTCAGCCTCTAACCTCTACCACTGGCCAATATGTGGGGTACACCGTAGATCTATTGTGGAGAAATTTCAGTTTAGTAGTGTTTATCAACATAAAATTGCAGGGACTTCGTCCATCATTAACAATACAATGACAATATTCAGAATATCTACAGAGAATCTACGTGAAAGCTGAAAATTGGTGTTGGATGCTTGTGGTCCTCAGGCTATGAGGCCAGAGTGGATCTGTGAACACACTTCCCTGTTTGATCTGTTTCATCTGTGTAAAGGTTAAGAGGCCTTCCTTGAATATGATCCAGGAAGGCTTCTTTGGCCAAACCTAATTTGAAATTCAAAACTGTTCTGTGGTCAGACAAATCAAAATCTGACAACCTTTTTCGAATTCATGGACAGATCAAGTCCTTGACTGCAAAAATAGGGACTATCCACCATGTAATGAATATATATATATCTTTTTTTTAACTATGAAGGATAATCAGATCAGTACCTCCCAAACAAGCAACATGCACCTTTACAAAGAAACCCTAAATATTGCAACGTCTATGCAGATTTTGGAGCAACATGTAGCTAAATACAGGCAACCAATACAGTCTTTTTGGCATAGCAATGCTAAAATACAGTCCATTCCAACAGCAGAAGCTGTAGTAAAAACATTCATTTACATGTGTTTGGGGATGCTTTGCAGTGAAACATTTACCTGCCGCCACATTTGCTGCTGTGTCACTTTATGAATTTGATATGTTTCCCTTTTTCTGTTGTGAATAAAATATTGGCGTGCTGAAAAAAAACATTTTGCTATTTGGGATTCACACAAAATCGTACTGCGTTTCGTCATTCCAAATGTATTTTGTGGTCATTCGACAAACCATTTGTTCTGTAGGCCTAAAGGTTTCGTTCCAGTAAGTCTGGGTAATATATTTTTTATGTGTTTTGGGAATCCATGGTTTGCTGATGACGTGCTGTAGTTTTCAAAGTCGGCGTGAAAATGTGACGCGGCCAGCAGAAAAGTCCCAAATATTGCACGTGCGCAGTTATACAAGAGTTTGTTTTATCTTTAAATTGTATCAAACTGGCTGGACATGTTTTCATTTAGAAAAAGAATCTAACAAAAGCCAGTTTGTCTCTCTCATCTTAGCTTTAAAGTTCAGCAGCAGCTGCTTTCATGCTTGGTTGAAACCCACAGCAACTTTGGTTTAATTATGTCCTTCACACTTGTAAAGTTCAATGTGGATCTATAAAAGAGATTCAGTATGCTATTGTCTTTTCCTTACTTTACAAAGATCCTACTGTGTCATGACTCTTTTGGTGTATTTTATTGGTACAGTTGTGGGCTTACATAACATTGGAATTTTTTGAGTTCATTGTCGGAGAAATTGCCGAGCCGGTTTCTTGGTTACCGTTACCACTCAATGCATCCCCAAGGAATCATCCAGAACCCAAACTGACATACATCCCACAAATTAAGTAGAAGGTACTTTACTGTAATAGGATTTATGATAAGGTCAACTATAATTACAATCTCCGTGCATTTAAAGTTAGCTTGTGGCCATTTTCTGAAAAATCCCTCATCTTGTCTCTCAGCATGCTGGCCTTTGGTTATTTCGGCACATGGACCGGCAACATTGCCCATTTAAAGTTATGTTTGTCACACCCGTTCTTTCTGCATCTTTTTGAGAGGGGGAGTTCAAGCAAAGGTCAAGTTTCTCGGAGACTTTTGGACTGGACCAATGAAAATGAGCAAAGCAGAGCGGCGCGGCAGAGCCGAGGTTTGAC